AATATGTGAGTGTGTCAGAAAATGAACTTGTAGTGCCGCCTTGGTTTGTAAATTGGAAGAGCATCACGCGAGATACCGCAGGACCTGTGTGTACAACAGTCAAATTGGCTCACTTCAGAATCACTGCCAATCAACTGTCTGAATGTTTGTGTACATAACTGACCAATGCGTTCGCTTTATGCTACTGCTGACTGCCTGCGAGATTAATCAGTAGAACGGGGGTTTTGTTTGTAACCTCCTTAGTGAACTCTACTCTACAAAAGCAATCAGCAACGGCACTTTTATAATTCAAATTAGCCGCCCCCATCTCATTGGCTCACTCTTCCGTGAAGACTGAATCCTTACACGCGGACGACCAATTGCAGTTTCTCTCCATATTGGGAAGCAAGGCAGTGCCCCTATGGATGGCAGCGGTTTCGGTTTGACAATCATGCGCTCAGGCCTGTTTTAATAAACTAAATCGGAGGTCGACAGCCAATGAAAAGGAAGGAAGAGCATAAAGCGACTAAGATTTCTGAATATAAATATCATCTGTCTGGTAGATTTTATTTGATGGACTTTTAAACCTAGTTGAAAACGAATATGTAGTGCCGCTTTGGTTTGTAAATTGGAAGAGCATCACGCGAGATACCGCAGGACCTGTGTGTACAACAGTCAAATTGGCTCACGTCAGAATCCCTGCCAATCAACTGTCTGAATGTTTGTGTACATAACTGACCAATGATCAAGATCGGAAGCCAACCACAGCCGAATATGTTTGAGTAGATTGCATTAAACGGAAGACCCAGCCAGAACAGAGGATTTGGATGTACGTCAGCTGCCGGACGGTGTGCTGATGAAGGCTGCCTTGACACATTTGCCTTCTCCATTCAGCACCTCACGTAGTCGGCAATGCCGAATTGCTGGCTCTAAGAACCACGATTGGTGCATGTTGAGGACGGATTTCGATTGGTCGAAATTTGCAGATCAATACAGATTGAAAGCAAAGATTTCACTATTTCTGAATCAGACATTGGACGATAGATTTGATTCAAATTAGCTAAAATCGGCAAACGACAATTATCTTGGCACGGATACACTCTCTGTATCTCATTCTGTTATTGGGGAACCTTTACTGCTGCAGCTTTATTGGCTGCTCAAGGACATTTAATATTTCTGTGGTATTTTTTGAATCAAAGTTGTTTCTGATAAAGTGGCCTTGAGTTAATCAAAATGGTATCCTCGTGACACAGAATTGAAAATTCCGTGTATTTTAAGGTAGACAGACTGACAGCACCATAGACCGTTTCAAAAGTCAGACCAAATTACACCAGGAAGGGAATGAACAAAATTCGACAGGAATTCACACAAACGCAGGTTCTGTTAGTGTAACAGGATGGCAGTGGTCAAGTAAGACCAACCGTGTGTGATTGATTCCCAAAATGGTCTTTCACATGTTTATGTGTGTGTTTATAACAATGATGTGATGCGGCTACTTTAAAACACGTTGCCTGGTAAAATCTGTCTTGGATGCCTAAATTACTATCATTGCATAAGACAACAGAATTTTTCAAAGTGCTTTATTAAAAGCGATTGAGTAATGAACTCAGAGAGACAGAAAGGCAGTTACCTATTTCGCGAAAGAGGTTAGTAACTTAAAAAAACGCGTGACTTATTTAAATAGATTCTGAGGATGACCTCGTTGTGATGAAAAACGATTCCTGAACAAAAATAAGTTTGCTGTTTAAGTGAAAAAAAGATCTTTCAGCTAGGTGGTTTACTTTGACTAGCTGATTTGCAGAACCTAAATGAAAAACTAACCAATTGGACTCGGAGTCGAACATAGTTTATTGCAATTGTTTGTGATCTTTCAAAGTTTCTTCCATTTAAGTAGTTGTGAAAAGTTGCTTTTGAATTTCGCGTTTTTTCCCGGCAATTTTTATGAAAAAGCGTAAACACGTGTAATGAAATATGGCCAGTTCTATTACTTATAATCAGGTTGCACGTTTCTGATTGTTTGCTTTATAATTAACGTTTTTAAAAGTTTCATGGCACAAGGGAATTATCTATTAAAAACTTGCTCATTGCGTGTAATGAATGATGCCTGTAAACTAGCACATTTGTTATATAAAAATACCGCAATTTTTTAGTTAATACGGACATAACTATTTCGACTTTTCATTTTTCGGTAATAGTCATCATCAGTGTAGGTAATTAGAAAGCAAGTTACATGCATGACAAATGACGAATAAAATAATGCTATTGGGTAGAATTTACCTAAGCCTTAATTTCAAAAACTTGTGGTTCGTTTCCGCTTAGGTTCGACCTAGTTAGATATCACCCAGCAAACTCTCCTATCTTAGTGTCTTTAAAAATGGGTGAAAATGTCATAAGAACAGCTTTATATAACAAAAAGCCCATGTTTAAAAAATTTGCTTTAGTCACGTTTGTAGAATTCCACTCAATGCATTAAAGAATCCACCCCTTCTCTACTTAAATGCAAAACTGTTGAAATTAATGCATACTGCTTCCAAATTCTAATCTGTTGTTTTTACATATATTCCGGGCTCTAAATTAACTGACTAGTGGTATTTAAAAATATTTATCTGGTTCGAGTAACTTTTCCCGGCCCCAGGATGCAAAACATTTGTCTTGAAAAATTTTTTGTAAGAAAGCCAAAAAAATAATTTTATTATCTGTTTGTGGCAGAACATTGTTCTGCACAATTTTGAATATAGTTAATAACGTTGATATAAGTTGAAATTTTCCTAAGGCCGCCACTGTTAAATAGAGTGTGCGCTACGGTGTGAGGTTGGTGTAGCTTCGTCGTACATTCGGGAAAAGTGTTTTTACCCCCAGTACTAAATCGAATTTTCCTATTTTAGATGGAGAACGTACTTCCAGCTTCGGTAAAAACTATTTATAAGGAGATCAGAGAGATACAAGAGGACAAAATCGATGGAATTCAATTAATACTGAATGACGAAGATATTTCCGATATCCAGGTACTCTAAATCTCTATTATTTGATTTTAGGCTACAATCGATGGCCCTATAGGCACACCATTCGATGGAGGCCGTTTTCATATAAGACTTCTCCTCCCATCGAATTATCCGTCTGAACCACCCAGAGGCTACTTTCTCACCAAAATCTTCCACCCAAATATTAACTGGCGCTCAGGGGATATTTGTGTTGATACATTAAAAAAGGAGTGGAAGTCTGACCTGGGAATTCGACATATTCTTCTGGTATTTAATGATGTAATTTAACCCGTTTAGACTATTCGCTGTTTATTGATTGCTCCAAATCCCGAATCTGCTCTCAACGAAGAGGCGGGTCGGCTGTTGTTAGAGGACTATGAAGAGTATACTCGATTGGCTAAGGTGTACACAGAAATTCATGCTCCTAAACCCGAAAACCGAGCACAACTTTGCGCTGCTAGTGAGGCATCAAATGATGCGGCTAAAGTAGAAGCTCCCGTGTAAGTTTGCAGTATCTAATGTGTTTTTATTTCTCTCCCAAGTTTAGTAGCCGCTGTCTTTGGTCAAAACCGTATCCTTTTCTGAATTATTCGCCCTAAACTCGATTTTTACCTAGACTTCGGGATTCCAACGGTCAATCCAGTGGCAGACCTGTTCGTGCGAAGCCAAAGAAGAAGATGTCTACGATGAAAAAGATGTTGATGCGCCTGTAGGGAATTACTTGTATCGTCACATGCATTTATTTATTTTGCTGTACACACTCATTGTATTTTGCACGACAACTCCGCCGCTGCACATGTGATTCAAAGTTGACGTCTTAAAACTATTTTTTCATTCTGAGGCTGTTCGCGTGAAGATTTGAATTTGGCGAATGAACCTCGATTTTTCTCGGTGTCTTAAATGTATGGTTTATTGTGACGAACTGAGTTCTTGTGTTGTGGCGTTATTCTGAGGTAGTTGTTTTGGGGTTTGTGCAACATAATTGTCGGTGTCAGGTAGCATTTATTAAGTTATCGTCCGTTGTTGTAGTTTCGGTTTCCTTATCGACTAATTTCGTCCAATTAACCAGAGACTGTTATGAATATGTATTTACCTAATCATGGCATCAATCTGACATCACCGAAGAATTCGTCAAATTAAAGGGATTCGCTATGGACTGGACTTCTGCTGTTTTGTTGTTCAGCCAGAGGATTTTCTAGGCAGGTATTTTGCAATGTCACATTTGCCTACTCCTACATGTTAGTAGGTCCAATTTTGCGGTGAAAATAGATGGTATGTGAAAGAACGCAGAAATTTGATTTAGATGTAGAGTGGTCTTGCTTCAGATTATAATTCCCTTCATGAAAACTATAATGTTGATGCAGAGCAGTTGGTTTCGTGGTTCATAAGCTGAAACCATTGTATCCCAAGTGTCAGCCAATCAAATCCACGGGCAACTAACTCGTGGCCATAAGGCAATAGCTTTCCTGGCACTCTGAAATTAATCTTTTACATATTTCCTATGTAAGAACTAAAATTTTTGCAAATAGTGACTGCTTGGATTGTAGAAATTTGTCATTACTCTAAGTTCATTCATTAATGCTGGTGGCAATATCTCAATCATAAGAACTATTAAATTCTTGGCGTCTGATTGGCCGAGCCAATGTCCCAATCGAATCGCCCTTTTTTTGACCAATAAGAAAGCGGAAAAGCCCATTTCTCATATTCACGTTTAGAGCTAGCGTGACACAAAAGTACCAGGAAATTATGGTCGCTGCTATGCTGAGTGGCGGCAATTCCGCAAGATTTCCCCTATTTCTTCTCCACTACTCGTGGATTATCACGTCATTTGGTGGTGCGGAAATTTTTTTTACTGATAATCAAATCTGTCGTAATGCATCGGCTTGTCATCGCCAAATACCATGCCAACTGTTTGACAACGTGACGTGTATTCTTGACCCCAGAGATCACTGTCGACCCAGATACATTTCAATCATCGATGACTCGGAGGTTGTCTGCAACGAAAGTAAGTTGAACCTACCTTGATCTGATTGGCCGTAAATACGTCAATATTGATCGCTTTTAGAATCTTATCGAAAATGAATTTGATATCGATTTGGGCATAGGAAATGTTTGTGGCGTTCACGTTAGGTCGGTTTGCTCCCCCCAGTTAAACGCTGGTTTAACTAACATTTTTGCGCGAAATTTAAAAAAGCGCAAATTTTGAATCGATTTGAAAACCAATTGGTCTGGGTAGCACTTAGAGCACATTACATGGGTTCAATTCAAAGACGAGGTGTAACCAGACCAGATGTGCTGACGATTAATTGGAGCTTTCTGGAGTTTGTCGTCATACGGCTCCTGGTAGTGTTATTTGTAGCCTTTTGTACAACGCCACTTTGTAGCATTCACTTTGTAGGTGGACACATCACAGTTCCTTCGTCATCAGAAAACGCTCCATGTTCAAGTGAAATATGTTTAAGGATTATGTAGAAATGAAAAACTGGAAAGTTTTACAAAACACTCAAAAACCCACAGTTGAGAGCGAATCGCCTCTTAACTTAAAAGCATTATGAAGAACATCTCAGAATGGGATGAGTTTAATAACTTGCTAGCTCTTCTGATGAAATCGTTACCGTCAGCTAACTAGAGTCTCGTTGTCGATGTTGGTGATGACAGGTAGACAATCTTAACGACGAATCCAGAGCAAAATGTCAGAAAAGACACCTCACGACGTGTCCAATGCTGCAATTAATATCTCTCCTCATTTTTCCTAATT